CCCTCCTTCCTTCCTTCCTTCCTTCCTTCCTTCCTTCCTTCCTTCCTTCCTTCCTTCCTTCCTTCCCTCCTTCCCTCCTTCCTTCCTTCTGCAGCTTGCACTCCAAAATGGCAGGGAGGTTGTTGACACCTGCACTGCCCCCCTCTACTGTGCTGAAATACCAGCAGGTTTCTCCGCTGGCCGGGAGGGCTCCCTGGGAAGTCCCAAGGGCGTTTCTGGGCTTGAGCCCAACTTTGGAGGGTCCCCATGGTGCAGCCTCCCACCCTGGTCCAGAGTAGCCTGTCCCCACTTGGCGTTCACTTCTGCATTTCCATTCCCCCCATTACAAGTGCTGAGAGGAGAGCCACCTTCAAAACATGCTGTACTTCAATACTTCAGGCGTAGTGGGACTGTCCTGGGACAGGGAGGTAGACAGACTGTGTTTGGTTTTGCTGAGTCCATTTGCGTGGTGAGGGTTCAGGGCTGTGGCGCATAGAGGGTTAGTGTGATCTGTCCTCTGCTGTTTGTGTTGCTCAGGTCAACATCAAAGTTCAGAACAGACAAGAGCAGCAAGCGACTTCTCTGAAAGTCATCAGCTCTTCTTTCAGTGAATCAACCTAGTTTAGAAATAAGGCCCTTGGCAAGCTCGTGGAGTGGCCTGCTTGAGCTGACCAACGTCCATTGGTCCTTTATAGCGCTGAAGATGCAAGCATGACAGAAAACTTAGGGGGAAAAAAGACTAGTCTCAGAAGGCTAGTTGGCTAGTTCAAATTTATAAAAACATCCTTTAGTGCTGCTTATAGTAAGGCGTATATGGGCAATAACCCCTCCAGCTGTGTCCTATCACTTTTCCCATAACTGTGGAAGGGGATTTAAGGACAAATAAGATAGTGAAGTAACAGCTGCTGAGCTGGAACTTAGGAACACTTTGGGTAAGCCCTTCTTGCAAGCAACCTGTTCAGCCTATGTAGGCTATACAGTATTGTTTAATATAAGCAACATTAGCAGAATTTGGGTCCCTGAGGCTGATCAACTGATTTTGCTGAAAGCAGAGTAAGTCTTCTCCATGAGCACTTAGAGAATATTAAGATACATGACTACCAACCAGCCAGTTTATTAGAGATGGAATTGAGCTGCTTGAGAAATGCTCCAGCAGGTACATGCAAGCTGCCCACTGAGTAAGAGCTGTTGACCTTAAAGCCCCATCTGCAGCACTGTCTTCTGCACTCCAGTCAGCAATTGGAAAGTGCTTGGTGTTTTGTTTGTTTGTTTTTGTGTTTTTCTTTTTACATTCCAGATGTTATAAAAAATAAATGCCAGTTTTCAGACCATGCAAAAATTCTTAGGATATCTGCTTTTTGTAAGGCAGTAAAAACAGCAGTTGATTTACTCCAGTGTTCAGTTCTTCTTCCTAGCTGGCAACCGTGTACAGATACTGGAAAGTAACAGTATTGTTAGTCATCGACCTGAGTTGGAAGTGGGAAAAGGCAACAGAATTTGTAGATTTTCCATTTTTTTATGAAGGCTGGACTGTGGAACAACTTTTCCCATCTATCACCTGAACCCTACGTTGATGTGTTCCTGCATCTTGCATCTGTGTAGTGTTTAGTTTTTGGTGCACGAGCCCCTGGAGCAGACAGGGGTGTTGCCTGGTTGTCAGCTTTAAAAACAACTCAAGCAATATGTGGTGTACCTGGCCTTCAGGATGGCAAGGAAAGTCACTTTGTTCATGACTGGAGTCCTGAGCAGGAGCAACTATAATATAAACCCAATATGCATGTTCTTATTTTCAAAACTAAAAGAAGTAGGATGGCATTTTGGTGGCCCGCTGATATCTCCTAGACCCACTCATTTTCAGGAAGAGACTGTTCTGAGAGATCCTAGGATGTACTAGTCTGTGCGGGGACTGATTTCACAGGTGATTTTTGCCTAAGGACAGAGTGGATAGAGGTTCTGTCTTGTTTTGTTTTGTGTTGTTTTCAACACAAAACAAGTTATTTCTAATAATAGTTATTTCTAATAGCTGTTTACAAGTGACACCTGGCACTTGTATTCTTCTTTTTCCCACTGTCTAGTATTTATCAAGAAAGAAAATGCAGACAAGTTCTTGGAAAGAACAAAACGTGCTAACTCTTTTTTGGAGGAATTGAAGAAAGGGAATATTGAAAGAGAATGCAATGAGGAGCGTTGCTCAAAAGAAGAGGCGAGAGAAGCCTTTGAAGACCAAGAGAAAACTGTAAGGATTAACTAATATGAAAAATAGTAAATATTTCATATTTACTAAACAATATTAAGATCTTTTGAGCTGGGAATCAAAGCTCACAAAATGCTCTTGATCACTTAACACAAAGGAAAAATAGAGAACATCTTTTTAATTTGGCTGGAATTGCTACAACAAAGACATGAAAACTGGAAAACAGCCTTAATTTTGCACTTGCAAGGCCAGCCCACATTAAAGCCACCATTCTTTTACCTCATCTAATCTGTTCAATCATTATTGTTAAGTATTCAACCTCTAAATGTTTTGATATTAGTTGTGTTAGAAATATTGTCACCCTGCCACCTGCATGGCATAGCTGAGTGTTCAAGGATTCTTAGCTGAACAGACCATAGGAAGACTGAGAATGCAAATAGTGGCACAGAACTTCATGAAAAAAATTTGTCTACTCATCTGAAGGAGCGTTGTACTGTTTATCGTCTTGTATCTCTCTTCCCAACATTTAAATGGACAGGATATTTACTGAGAAGAGTATGCCTGAATATCAAACTGCCTATAAAGAATTACAGTGTAATAATCCCTGTATCACCTTCCCTGTCCTAGAGGCTAGTTAGTTTTAGATGGGAGGGAAATCTATTGCAAATCTAAAGAGAGATCAAAGAGATGGGACAAGTCCAGGAGATGGGGGTCAGTAGAAAAGCTAATGTTCAAGAACTTGAAGTGACTGAGGGTAGAGGAGAATCAGGAACATAGGCTGTAGCAACGTGGCTGTTAAGAACAGCCCTGAAACTGGAGTTAAAGACAGATTTATTTCACTTCAGTAATATTTGCTGTCCAGAATGTTCTTGGAGTGTGCCTGAGATGACCTGTGTGGGGGAGTTATGGGTGCATCATAAGGGTACATTAAAGCATAAGGGTTGGTTGACCTATAACAGAACCAGCACAGCCTGTTCTACCTGGAGACCATGTATCATTAAAAAAGACAGACTTGGACAGGTGGCATGCCTGGAGTCTGCAGTGCTAGAGGGAAGGGAGAAAAGAGCCACCGTATTTTAAAATGTCGGAATTCCTTAGGCCCTGAGAGGATAAGGGGAAAGGACACTGAGAACTTGGTATTGCAGATAAATCCTGTCAATCAAATGTGTTTCCAGTTAGTAAATCCAGTCAAATGAATATGAAGATAAGTTATGCAAGGAAAAGAGTCCCTTATGTTAAATGAGTCACATTAAGAAATCTCTAATAAGGTTAAGCATTTTTTCAGAAGTGCGTGAGAATTGTTTTCCTAGGGCTGGGCAATATAAATGGGTCATATGCTTTTAATTTATTAAATAGCAGTATCAGGCCACAAGGCACTATATTTGCCTGTAACTTAAATATTCTGCTTTAACAATTGTTAGCTCCAAGTATGGCCTGTATGAAAACTCTGACATTTTTCTAAAGATTTGAAATCACTGATTTCCATCTAATTCTTGTTTGTCTCCTCCTATTTCCCTTTTCCCACACCTACCTCTAGGAGGAATTCTGGAATATCTATGTAGGTAAGCAACACTCTGCATTTGTTTGGAAAATTAAGCTTATTTTTATTGCAAGGCTATAAAGGACACATTTCTTATGTAACCGCTTCCTGCCCTCTTGTTCCTCTCTTTTCACTGTGGACACCCTCATGCTGTGTTTCTTCTGAAAAGAGAATCTGATTGATTTACTGCCTTGCTGTTGCTTGAACCCAGTCACTTCTTTCTAAGGCAAGGTTCAGCTGCCTGCAATGCTTGAGATATCTTTTTTCTCAGTGGAGAATAGTGGCTCTTTGCACGCAAAGGACAGGGAGAAGCTGGGGATGTGTTGTTACCAGTTAACTGTCCTCTACAAGCACCTTTTCAGAAATATATGAAAATACAAAATGTCGTAGATGAGGGTGCCATTTTAATTTTTGGCCTTGGCTAAGGCATTAACTATGTTGCTCAGTCTGCCTCACCACTTTCAGTCATCCTTCATGCTAAGGTGTTGTTGAGTCCTGCAAAGTTTAGTACTTTGCAGGATGTGTTTTCTACAGAACTGTTTAGTATTCAAGGAAGAAAAAACAGTGGATTAGCAAATAATGCTAATCAATATTTTCTTCAATTTTTTTCTTTCAAAATTTCAAATTTTCTTTCAAAATTTTTGACACAAGTAAGACTGCTCGGTTTTGTTTCTTGGAGTCCACAGAAAACTGAAGATAGTTGCTGTGATGAAGACTCAGAACTTTCACAATCATCTAAGGGGGAGATAGATAAACTCTGAAGCCCACAAGTTGAAATTGCAACCAAGGCTTGCGTCAGTACTGTGGGAACAGCGGTTAACATGAGTGGAAAATTTCAACTCATTTTCTCATGAGAATACAGGCAGCAGAACATTAGTGCCAATGCTCTTAGCAGAAATGCCAATTTCATACATTATAAACCACGGGTCAGGAATTTTTTTTTTTGGTGTTCAGAAATATTGAAAACCACAGTTTCTCTCAGCCAAGTTGCTAGAACAATTCATTCTCATTTCCTTTTTTAGTAGGAGATTCTGCAATGTTTTTGTGAAATATTGCTATAAACCTCAGGTCCACAGCAACACTTACAGTGTCTAGGAAAAGACTAAACAAACATGGTTTTAATAGTAAGATATTGCTTAGTTAAAACCACTACAGTGGCACAACTGATGAGGCAGAAACCAGGAGCAGGTCAGTAGGTCTCGAGTCTGCCTTTCCTCGGTAAATGGTGATCTCAGCTTCCCTCTGTTGAGGACAGACATCAGTCTGTAACTCCTCTCTTGTGGAATACACAGTTGCAGCATTTAGAGTGCTGGAGTTCCTGGCCACACACAGGTATAGATGGGATGCTCAGTTGTTGGGGCACTACACAAAGCCCAACAGATATTCCCTGCAGCAGATACAGCTGAAGCAGATAAGGTGACAGGCCAAAGCCCACATGGAGGCTGCAGGCTGGATTCTAGGATAAGAAGTTTCAAAGCTTAAGACGTCAAAAGCCAAGTCCTCTTGGAGGGTATTTGCAACACGGAAATGACCAACCTGCTCTTACAGCCTTCACTGTAAATGATGTGCTATTGCTTTATCTTTCTCTGCAAAAGGCACTACTATGCACTCTCATACAGCAGCCATCAGAACCAAACTGCAGAACTTAGGTCATGTATGTGACTCATGCTGCTTTGAAATACTGACCCTACTCTTTGCTCTGTCTGTAAAGTGGCAACTCACGGGACGTATGTTTTAGAAAATCATATTAAAGCTTCCTTGATAAAATTCACCCCCTTCAAGAGGTCACTGACAGTATTTACACTCCTAAAACAGCTTGTTCTTTTGGTTGTTTTTTGTAGATGGAGATCAGTGCAGCTCAAATCCTTGTCACTACGGTGGACATTGTAAAGATGGAATCGGTTCCTACACTTGCTCATGTTTGGATGGCTATCAAGGCAAGAACTGTGAATTTGGTAGGTTTCTCCTTTAGAAAACTGTGGCAGAGACTTGAGCAGGGAACTGAAGCATAAGGTGTCAACACTGTCTTTAATGGGTAGTGTTGGAAAAATGCACAGAATAGAATGGCAGTTAACAATGAGTTGGAGGCCAGTAACAGAAGCACAAAGCTGGATCTACAGCTGGCTTGCGCTCAGAAGCTGCACTTGCTCCAAAGCCCTCTGGATTGCGGTAGTGCCTCTTTACATGAACTTGAACCCCCCAGAAATACTAATAAACTGGAGGTCACAGGCTTCTTATATCTGGTATCCAAGAGCCTTTACTCCAAGCTCAGAAATACAGCCCCTTGCCCCTGCTCAGCTCATACCAGCAGAGACCCAGACAAAGAAAGTGGCTTTCAGTCGACAGTGCAGAGACTTTCTCAGCCTTTCCAGGAATCCATTTCTTCACACAAATCCTTCCAGAGTCTTACATCTGTGGCATCCAGCTACCACCCTCGCGATAGTATCCCCGGGAATGTGTATCACTCACCCATATGTAGGAGTGGGAGTGTGTGGAAGTGGAGCTCACAAACAACACTGAGAAGAATGATGAGGGGTTGAGGTTTGTATGACAGGAGGAAGGAATCATATGAGGATTTACTCTTATCCATATTTATCTGCTAGTGTTTTATTCTTTGCTTCATTGGGGCTCTATCTCTCCTTTTTAAGCTCACTGTGACAAAGCCTACTCGGATTTGGCAAGCCTTTCTCATGCCATGCATGTGACTACTTCGTAAGCTATCAGCTAATATTACTGCTGCTGTTGTTAAAATGTGCTTCAGGTGCTTCACAGGGGAGACACAGATCCTGTCTACATGCTGCAGTGTAATTTGGTGAACTTCAATAGCTTCTGTGAAGTCAGTGTTTATTTACAAGCTTTCTCCAAACATGTCTCTCTGATAGTCATACCGAAGTACTGCAAGATAAGCAATGGTGACTGTGAGCAGTTCTGCAGCATCAAAAAGAGTGCACAGAAGGATGTGGTGTGTTCCTGTGCAAAAGGGTATGTTCTAGCAGAAGATGGCAAAGGCTGTGTTGCATCAGGTACGAAAACACATGATGAACTAATAGCAATAGTGGTGAGACCCGCTTCACAAAGAAGGCTTTTGAAACATAGACACAGTGATATTGATTTAGCACTGAGGCTAGATGATTTGTGTTTTAATAGCCTTCCATGTGTGAGACGAAGTGATGGGCAACAGATTTATCTGACTGGTAACTTTTTGCAAGGTGCCTTTCACTGAAATTGCCCAAGGGGAAAGACAAGTGCAGCTAACAGGATGAAAGTGATTGCAGTTATTTGTTGCTTACTTAAACACACCTTATTTAAAATAGCATGTTACAAGAACTTCTTTTCTATTTTTGATGTCAGTTAGCCTAATCAAATAATTAAGATTAATGCTATTGGATGTACATTTTCACAATATTTTAGCAGACTGCGGGTGGTGGGAGGAGAACGATAAGGCCATATGTCCATAAACCATATATGGATGAAATCTGTTTCTAGGTCCTTTATAACTAATATTCAACTGTTCTAATTAGTGATATGATTCTTAACATATATAACAATATTATTGATATATAACAATATAAATAATTGAAAATGCTATTTGAATTTTAAAAACTTTAAAAACTTCATCCAGAAGCTGAACCCACAGATAGCCTTCAGGAGTAGAAAATGACTTTCCTTTTTCAACCCATCCGGTCTTCCTCCTTTGCTGCATCTGATAACATTTTCTTAGCACCTTGAAAAGAGGGCAGCTGATTTAATTGCAAGAGGGTGTTGTCAAGGTGTTTCCCCTTGTGTATGTGCTTTTGTCCTTCCTCTCATTCTAATGCTCTTGTCTTCACAGTAAAATTTCCCTGTGGAAAAGTTTTTGTGAAAAGAAAAAAAAGGTCTGTTATTTCACCTGCTGATAACAGCAATGCAACAGGCACTGAAGTTGTCTCTCCCACAAATGGAACAATTCTGGAAGAGGACATCGTTGCTACCACAGAAAGCCCAACCGTCCAGCCTCGGAATCAAACAAGTATCCAGTCTCCAAATGTGATTACCAGGATAGTTGGTGGTGATGAGTGTCTGCTTGGTGAATGTCCATGGCAGGTAAATCAGGTGTAAGCAGAACACTCTCCCTTCTCAATCAGTTGATATTTTTTCATGAAACATGTTAATAAGTACCATGAGGCTGTATGTAAAGCCAAATATCTTTATCATATAAGGACAACTAGGATTCTGTAGGCTGTCTGTAGCATAGCCATGTGTGTATGCAATACTAGGGCCACTGCAGAGAGCCCTGTGCACTAGCACATGTTGCACGAAATGCATACCTGCAGAGAAAGCAATTACCTGTTCCTGGCCCTTTGAAGTCAATATGCTCTTAGTTCTGTATTTAACTTTTTTCTCTCACAGGCTGTTCTCATAAATGAGGGAGGGGAAGAGTTTTGTGGTGGAACTATTTTGAATGAAAACTATATCCTTACTGCAGCTCACTGCATGAACCAATCTAAAGAAATCACAGTTGTTGTTGGTAAGTGGTTATTTATTTTACTCCTGTAATGCTGAAATGTTGAGCCTGTGCTATGGATGAATCCTGTGTGCTCTGAAACCTGTGTGAGATGGCTGTTGTTTTTTGTTTTGTTTTACTTTTTATCGTTTCCCATTATTGCAGGCATCCTGTTTTATACTGAGAGGAGTAGCTGATTAAGACGGTGATAACAGTGCATCCTTTTTTATGTCATCTAGGTGGAAGTGATAAAGAACAAATATTCTAGAATATTTTGAACAAATTTTAACAAAAAATTGCTCAGTGTTGTGTTGATCAGGAGCCCTGCTTTAGGAAGCTCATAATTTTTCCAGGCCTATCTGAAGCATACAGGCTTGTTTCTATGGGACTATGAGCGAAGCTGAGGCATGGTGACTGGAGAAAGAAATAAGTAGCTCAGATTATGACTATTTCACTTTTGAGACATGATTCTAAGTCAATGCCACTTTGGGCCTGTCTTAATCTTGGCCCAGGCCAGCTTCCCTTCCTTGATGTAAGCCATACTCAATCTTCCACAAGACCTTCCATCCAAGTTGCAATCATTTAGTTGAATGAGTTTATCCTTTACTTAAACTCATGCGATAATTTCACTAGACGACCTTGGAACTGAAACTGCCTCCAGGTGCTGCTAATAAACCTTGCTATTTTTTTTTTTTTTACAATTTGCTTGTATGGTATGAAGGCTTAGGTAAAGTGTAAGGAAGGGGATACTAGTCTCTTTATCAAGACTGCTTTTAATTTCTTGCACCTTCCTCATACAAATGACCCTTTTAATGATCTTGTGCAGGTGAAGTGGACAGAGAAGAGGAAGAACATTCTGAAACAATGCATACGGTGGACAAAATATTTGTTCACTCTAAATATGTTGCAGAAACTTACGACAATGACATAGCCATAATAAAGCTGAAGGAACCTATAACATTTTCTGAGTATGTTATCCCAGCATGTCTTCCAGAAACAGACTTTGCTAATGAAGTTCTGATGAACCAGAAATCTGGGATGGTTAGTGGCTTCGGACGGGAGTTTGAAGGTGGACGACTATCCAAAAAACTGAAAGTGCTTCAAGTCCCCTATGTGGATAGGAACACTTGCAAGCAATCAACTAACTTTGAGATAACAGATAACATGTTCTGTGCTGGTTACGAGACGGAGCAAAAAGATGCTTGCCAAGGAGACAGTGGAGGCCCCCATGTAACCAAATATAAGGAGACTTACTTTATTACTGGAATTGTTAGCTGGGGAGAAGGATGTGCAAGGAAAGGCAAATACGGTATCTATACCAAACTGTCCAGGTTCCTACGCTGGGTAAAATGGGTCCTGAGACAAAAGATGTAGTGGCGCAATTATTGATCCTTTCTACAGGCTAACAAGGTGCAGTTGTACGATCTGTAATAGAAACTTCATCCTATTTTAGCACCTTTACTAAATTTGTTTGAGAGCTACTACTTTAAAGTTATGGTGCTGCTGCTTCTAACTTTATTCCTTGGCTTCCAGCATGTATATGTGAACTGTCAGTGTTGATTTGAATTTGTACAGTGAGGAGCTTTCCTAAAAAATGGCTGCTTGCTGGAAACTTGTGTTTGCTTATTCATTTTATTTTTCAAAACTTCAAATTGCAGCCAGTTGGTTCAATAGAGAATATGTGCTTATTAGAACTGTTTAGCTTAGCTGTCGATGTGTTGAGCAGATTAAGAGAGCACAGAAGCTTCCGTGGCAAAAGTTGAGCCTCAGGTAAGTATTCCACCTGTGATGCTGTCTCCCCGTTATGCTCTGCCGAAATACCCACCGACATCACTGCTGCTAATTAAAATACTGTTTCCCTTTATGTAGGCTATATTTCACTTTATTTTGAACACTTCTATTTTGTTTCTTCAGAAAAAAAACAAACATGCATATTCACTGTTTTCTCTATTATGTTTTGCATTGTGTATGGCTGAGGATGGGAGAGCTCCTTGCATGTATATTAGTTCTACATATTCCTGAAAGGTGCAATGTTGATGTACATCAGCATTTGAAATAAAACACTTTCTTTTTACTTTGTCGTTATTTTTTTTCCTTCAGTCTACTTAGAAATAAATGAGGCCAAGATCTTTTAAGAGTGAAAAAAAGGAAAAAAAAGTTTAAATGACCCTAACAGCTGCGTGTGATATATTTTGTCTGCATTATGTCATGACTAACAAGGAGGTGGAGAATGGAGGGGGTCTAAGGGTTCTTTTTGGCAAGTATGGAAGTCCTTTGGTGCAACCCCTTGCTGAAAGCCGGGCTGACATCAAAGTTAAATCAGGCTGTGCAGGGCCAGGTCCCCTCAAGGTTTGGAAATCTCCAGAGAGATAAAGATTGTGTGTGCCCTTTGGGTGACCTGTTCATATCCTTCAGCACCCTCACAGTTAAATTTTTTCTTATATCCAATTGGAATTTTCCTTATTGCAAATTTTGACATCTGCCTCTTGTTCTTTTGCTGTGCACCTCGAAGAAAATGTGTAACTCTGTCTTCGCTGTAATCCCCATTTAGGTAATGGAAGATGGAAATTAGATCCTGCAGCTCTCCTTGGCTGAACAAACCCCATTCCCTCAGCTGCTTCTATGTCATGTGTCCTTAACCACCTTGGTGGCCTTTCCAAGATTCCTCAGTCTAATATGCTCCCCTATTGCCTAAGGTAAACTGAACCTCACCAGTCCTCTGCGATGTGTCTCAGGGGGCTGGAAGTGGCACTGACTGGTACCTTTCAAAAAGGTGCTCTGAGCAAACCATGGTTGAGAGACTAGAAGACAACTCCACATAACTACTAGGTATTGCTGCAGTCAGCAGTAACTCATGCTTTGAAGGACTGCAGGTCAATGAGCTCAGTTTGATGATCTCCACCTGTGTAAATCCTCTGTGGAATTACCTAAATATTTATTCAGCAACGTTAGTTCACCGTGCACTGGATTCTCTGGAACCTCTGTGCACTGGAACCTCTGTGCACTGGATTCTGATTTC